TCCGGCGGGAGGTAGGGCCGGGGTCGGGCCCTTCCTCCGCGGCTCAAACAAGTTACAACCACGGCTGGATGTCGGTGAGGCTGTAAATAGGTGGGAATGAGGAACACAAATGAGGTGGAGCGGGGAAATGAAGGGGGAGACTTTGCAGTGGTAGTAATTCAAGATAGAAAAGAGGCCCTCTGGGAAAAAACGAAATAGCTGGAAATTAGGAAGACGGAGAGCAAAAAAAAGCGGGGGAAGGAGAGGTCACGTCTGGCAGGTACCTGGTTGTCATGCGTCTGTCTTGAGTCCGTGGGTTATGTTCGTATCCAGCAGGGTGACGAAGTGAAGTTCGTAGGCTCGTCTACAAAAGGTGTTTTGTAAGTTCCCTTGCACGTAATTACAGCGCGCGGTAGTTTTTGATGCCACACATGCTCAACCCAAGTCGCTCTCGGGGAGCCTTGCCCGGCTTCTGGGCTGGCTGTCGGCGCTTTCGCCTCGAAATAAAGAAACGGTGCTGCGTGGATGACCCGGTTCTCACTCGTTCAGTGGCTGTCAGTGAAGTCTCCTGCTCCCAAACTCCTTTGCGGTGCCTTAGTGTAATTGTAGCGTCGCATAACTGCGACCGGAAGTCCTACGCTAGAGATGGGGAGAGAAGAAAATTATCAGCAATTAGGTGAACAGCAAGGAAGTTGGCAGCATTTCAGTGCAAATGTGTTTACCCTTAATTTTTTTCCGACTTCTGTGTAGCGTATTAATTACAGGCAGTCCTCGACTTAAGACGTTTCGAGTTGCAACAAACAGTACTTATGATGTTTATAAATGGACACCCTGTTTCAACTGCCTGACGTCAGTTTCGATCTTACGATGCTTGATCTGATGCAATGCCATGCCAGCGAACAAGTTCGCTGCGTCGCCCATCTCCCTGGAGAACATCTGTCCAAACTTCCTTGGACGCTTTCTTTAAGAAAGCAGACGAGACTCCAGGAAAACCTGCAGCCAGGACTCCTGAGAAGACTCTGGCCAGGAGCCCTTCAAAAAATCCAGCAAAGTCACCTCAAAGAAGTCCTTCCAAATCAATAGGATTGCTATTTACAATACAAATACATTAGTGCAGCTATGAGCAGACAAGGTTCCTTGGGTGAATTTGATATCTTTTATTAGACCAACCCATATAGTTGGAGAATAGTTATTAAGCAAGCTTTCGGGTTCAAAAACCCTTCGTCAGGCTAAGGAAGTTTCAGCAGTTGGTGTGTGCTCTTCCTGGATGGAATGAAATATAGTGTAGCTACATTACTCATCTATAATTGATTGAGTACAAAATTCTGGGTTATTTTTTATTAAAATAGGGTATCTGGCCTTGATTCAGGAACCAATCCCCCATTTATAACATTGTTTCCTATGGGAAAATCGGTTCCGATTCGTGACATTTCAACTTAAGATGCTGTTTTCAGGAACCAGTTGTGTTGGAAGTCCGAGAACTGCCTGATCTGGACAAGTAGGCAATTGCTATTTGTTGTGGTAAATTAAGAGGAAGGCTACTCTTAGTGCCTTGTGCCTTTGCATCATTTCCATTCTCTTTGTGCCTACATGGAGCTTGTACATCTTTTTGTGGCCTTGCACTAGGGTTACCATATGTCCGAGTTTTCCTAGACATGGCCTCTTTTTTGAGTCCTCCAATATCTGTCTAGGTGGTTTTTTGAAATAGGAAACAATGTCCAGGATTTTTCTCTGCTCCGCTGGTGGGAATGGGGGGATGGTGATTGGGGGCAAGGGCAGTGCTGGGGGAAGCTGTCCAGGTCCTGGGGCTGCAGCAGGGCAGAGGAGGCGCCTGCCCCTCCAGTGGGGGAAGGGAGCAGGAGGCCCTTTGAGGGTAACAGAGAACTCTATGGCTGGGCTGTTGCCTTTGCTTGTGGGGCTGGGTGGCCCCAGGAGATGCTGCCTGGGGGAGGAGGGATGTGGCCAGGCTGTCTGGTGCGGCCTGCGCCAGGGCCAGACTTGCTCTGATGTTGCCCACATAAATTGGGGCGGTTGCACTCCAGCCCAGTCGGAACAGGGGCAGCTGGGTGCCCCCTCTTTCAGGACTGGGGGGAGCAGGGAGCTGCAGGTCTGGAGTAAGGGGCACTGACAGGGCTGGGGGGAGTAGGGGGCTGTGGGTTGGGAGTGAGGGGCACCGGCAGGGCTGGGGGAGGAGGGGCAGGAGCTGTGAGTCGGGAGTGCGGTGTACTGAGAGTGGCATGGGGCTGTGGCTTTGGAGTGAGTAGCCCCAGCATAGCTTGGCTCGGGGGGTTTGGGAGCGAGGGTCACTGGCAGGGCCAGGAAGCTGTGAGTTGGGAGTGAAGTGTCCCCCTGACAGGTGTCTTTTTTGGAGCTGCAAATATGGTAACCCTACTTTGTACAGAAGGAGAATTTTCAGGCCTTTTTTTGCCCTTCCAGCTTTTTTCAATCACTTTTTGGATGCCAAACTAATTTGTCTTGAAAGTCTGAGCTGGCAGATAGACCAGATAAAAAACTCAAAATAAATGTAGCTTAGAAAGAAATATTTACTGGAAGACCATAATAGAGAAGACAGAAATGAAAAGATCATAAATATTAAATGTTTCATATGTGTATCCTAGATGAGTCTAATCACAGAAGAGTTGGGCTAGAAGCGACCTCCAGTGGTCAGTGAAACAAAACCCTGCTCAAGGCAGGCTCATCCCTGTTGAACTCATTCTATTAAGGTCCTTGCCTAACCTATTCCTGAAGCTGTGCAGTCACCCCTGTCACACAACTAGAAGGCATATTGCCCCAAAATCTGGAAATTACAGAGATGTAGCTACAAAAAGTCACTTGCTATTGATATACTGAGCTAGAATGTAATTCTGCCTCTTTAGAAAATAAACCGATTATGGTTCACAAATGAAGAAAATTAAGTGTCAGGCAGCTTCTTCAAAGAATGTAATTTTCATGGAGTGGTATCAGAATCCATTGCCTTTTTGAAGTTGTTGGAATATATGATTAGATCATTTTTTCTTCCTGTTATATGATGCATATTGACTTACAATTCTTGTATACATGTTTTCCCAGCAAGTAATTTGCTAAATTATACTGTTAGTTTATTTTCATTTGATACCTGAATTTGATGTAGAGGCTTTCATTGCCTAATAAATGTGAGATTAGGAAGGTAGTAAAGCTCTGGAACAGGTTACCTACAGAGGTGGTAGAATCTCCGTCCTTGGAGGTTTTTAAGACATGGGTAGACAAACCCTTGACTGGGATGATCTAGTTGGGGTGGTCCTGCTTGGAGCAAGGGGTTGGACTAGATGTGACCTTCTGAGGTCCCTTCCAACCCTCATTTTTTATGATTAGCACCTTCAGCAAAGTCTCTTTGGGATTGTTAAACACGTTTGTTGGCCCTCGGGCAGTGTTTATTTACATGTCAGCTGCGGGTTGACTCTGAGCTCAGTCATGCAGTGAAAGTCACTGTGTTTAACTGATGATGTTGGCAAAGAAACAGACATACAAATTATTAAGATGCAGAACAGACAGGTTATAGCTGTTACAAATGTATAAGGCTATACAATAAGAGAGTCATAGTGGATGGGTCGGTATCGACCTGGAAGGGTGTGGGCAGTGGAGTCCCGCAGGGCTCGGTCCTTGGACCGATACTCTTCAATATCTTCATCAGCAACTTGGACGAGGGAGTGAAGTGTACTCTGTCCAAGTTTGCGGATGACACAAAACTGTGGGGAGAAGTGGACATGCCAGAGGGCAGGGAACAACTACAAGTAGACCTGGACAGGTTGGACATGTGGGCGGAAAACAACAGAATGCAATTCAACAAGGAGAAATGCAAAGTGCTGCACCTAGGGAGGAAAAATGTCCAGTATACCTACTGCCTAGGAAATGACCTGCTGGGTGGCACGAAAGCGGAAAGGGATCTCAGATTCCTAGTGGACTCCAAGGTGAACATGAGTCGGCAGTGTGACGAAGCCATCAGAAAAGCTAATGGCACTTTATTGTGCATCAGCAGATGCATGACGAACAGATCCAAGGAGGTGATACTTCCTCTCTATCGGGCGCTGGTTAGACTGCAGTTGGAATACTGCATGCAGTTTTGGGCACCACACTTCAAGAGGGATGCGGATAACCTGGAGAGGGTCCAGAGAAGGGCCACTCATATGGTTAAGGGGCTGCAGACCAAGCCCTACGAGGAGAGACTAGAGAAACTGGACCTTTTCAGCCTCCGCAAGAGAAGGTTGAGAGG